TCAAACTCTGCACATACAGCATTCTGCACAGTGAAGCTCAAACATCCAACTGTAGGAACAAGAAGAACATATTTATGAGAAAGTCCATTACATCTTGTTTTCATTTAATTTCCAGTACGAAGAAGTGGATGCCATGCAGCTCCAAAGGCTTCTAAATGACAGAATCTTGAAAGGTTTGGACTGTAAACAAATATTAACAGGCTACCTTGATAAACAGTAGAATACACTGAAATGAAACCTGCCGGCCCTTTTCTTGATATAACACACATTACATGATTTGAAGGCCAGTCTACATGTATAGTTTTGTTACCTTAATGTTGGGCTAAAAAGACATCAATCACTGGCAAACTGAACGACAAGGAATTTGTTCGTTTGTGGAAGAAGGTTGTCACATACAAGGTAAAAATCATCAAGTCCCGCTTAAATGTTTCATACTGAATGGAAGAGCTTTGATTTTTTGGTTATTGTTTTGTTTTCTTCTTTTACCAGGACATCTTCTTCCTCACCAATGTTTCACGAACAGGAACACTGTCGCTGGGTGAGCTGAGGAATGCATTCGTAGCTTCAGGTAGACCAGCTACCCTTGATTATAAATGTATTGAATGGTATACAACAGTACAGTACAACAGTAAACAAACACTATGTCTTTTAACATCAGTGCCAAACAACACTGGGAAACTAGTAAAACTGTGTGCACCCTCAGAAAGTAAATACATTTTCAACCAAAAAAGAGGTATAAAACGAATGAAAGAGAGGATGTGGTAATGTGGGACTGAGCCAGATTAACTGGGTCTGATAAAGTAAGGAAAGATTACTGATTGAGTAGATTAATGATCATTTCAACTCTTTGGTTCAATCTCACCGCTCAGATAATAAGCAGCTGCTTTCCACAAAAAGATTTGATAAATTGTATACTGCAAGCCCGTCATCAAACAACAGACAGACAAAGGTAGCTACTAGCTGGAGCATTTATCAGATAGAGAGATAGATATTTTCTCTAGGGACCTGGTGGACACCAAAATCTGAGTTTAAGGCAGATTGCATATTGGACTTGCATTTGCCATGACTCCAAATTGATGGCAGTTGTTTGCAAACAAGTTTGCCATATAAACTTAAAAAGTAATAATAATATGTCAGTAATATGTTCACAGCTTGTTTCCACTGGCACCCAATGGCCCTAGAATCAGCTATGGCAGCTATATATAACTTACACTTATAGGACTTTTTTTTTTTTATCTGGCTTTAATCCAGTGGCTGGTAAAGAAGCAAGGGATGTTGTCATCACAGGGCTGTGTTCGATGTCAGTCAAACTGCACATATGTGGATCAAGTGCAGGTCAACTTGTCACCATCCTTCCTAGGCCCAACTACGCCTAATGGGAAAATTTTGAGTCACCACATATTCGCACGCTATACAGATGTAGGTGCAATATGATGGAATTTATCACAAAGAAAAGGAAATGCAGCTACAACAGAGACCATGGAAAAAGCTTCAGATTCTCAGAAAGTGTGAGGTGACTATTGTATAAGACCATAAGAACTGTGAAACTTTAGCTTCCTTTTATTATTACAGTAATTGCTTAGTGTTGCATCCAAATAAAATATATCTGTTAAGTCCTTCATGACCAAAGATTCACAATGGGATGAACAGTTTTAGAGCGGGTCTTCTCAAGCTGGCTGATGTGGTTGCCTGCGACTCAGCTTGTCTCATCTTCAGTAGATGGTTTTAGAACGTAACAGCCAACAAGCTCGGAACAAAGTCACTGCCAGCTCGTCAAAATGAATGCAGGAAAGAGAAAATTATGCAACTCATGTAACTCATTATCACTATCCTCATTTATATTTTAAGATACTACCAACTATATACAGTTACAAAAAACAAAACACCAGCAGGTAGAATGGACGTACAGATAGTCGCTGCTATGGAGACAATACACTGTCTCGGCTAGTTGCATTGGTGTGAACTGGCAACTTGTCTCAACGCAGGGTATGTTGTGTGCTACCTAATCAACCAGAGGGAAAAGCATAGAAAGGTTAAGAGCTAAGGGGCAGAATAGGAATGTTAAGACTACCTCTCATCATTGGTGATTTGTCCCATACAAACATACTCTTTGTCCCACAATAGGTTTGTTGGGATCTGGTCACCCCATCCAGAAATAAACGTGTGTGTGTGTGTTGATGCTGGAAATTTGGCTTGTGCAAAACATGTGATATCACACCAAGACGTTAGATTAACGAAGTCACTGACAAACTCTTCTTAAATTCTATGTGTGTTGAACAGGAATGATGGTCAGCGATGACATGCTCAATTTGATGGCCCTGCGCTACAGTGACTCCTCTGGACACATGTCGCTGGAGAGCTTCATCAGTCTCATCCTTCGCCTGGACTGCATGTACAGTAAGTGAAAGTCAAGTGGGACAAAGGATGACGATTGATAACACATATAAAAAGTAACAGTCTGTTACTCTTGTTTAAATTAACTAAAAGTGTCTGTCTAGCCTAGTAATACAA